GGGTTCCAGCTGGAAGGACATCCGCTGCGTAAAAATGTGCTGGATAAGTTGGCTGTTTATTCCATTGTGGCGACCCGGGATTAATAAAGGGACTAAGTTGAAAAGAAAATGAATGAATGAATGAATGTTTATTGACAAAATACATAACATTATGTAGAATGTAAGAATACAAATAGTATCAGGACACTTTTTAACAATAAGCAAAAGAAAAATTAAAATAACAAAAAAAGTAAAAATACAAATACAACCCACCCCGCCACCCCACATCCATACAAGGTATAGATGTCACAAATTTTATCTAAACATTTCTTATTTTGATGTTACATAAAGATAGTTGAAATGGTTGATGGTAATAATAAACAAAAAACAATTAATGTCCAGAAATGTTGAACAAATAAATTACATTTACAAGTATGATAAAACATTGAATTAAAACAATAACATAAAATAAGAGATAGTAAGAACAACAACAACAAAAAAGTCTAGCAAAACTAATTATACGAAATAATAAATTTTAAAAGACTAACAAAGGTAATGTGTCAAGAAAAGGGCCCCAAATAGAATCACTGGGCTCTGGGCTTTTTTTCTGACAAAATACAATCTTTTCTCAGGGGTACTGTAAGATACAACCTCATTGATCTAGTGTTTTTTTCTCAGGGGGGTACTCAGACTTCCATTTTTGAAGTATACATTGTTTGGCTGCAGTGCTTGCAAGTAGTAATGCACCGACAAAGATTTTTGGACCGATATTGATAACCGATAAATCTTTAGATTTGTAGGCCGATAACCGATATATTAGCTGATAAATATTTCAAAATGTTATATTTTTACACAGTGAACAACTGATTTTATTTTAAAAACTTCATAAAAGTTTGAACAGTTCTTAGAATAGCACACCCAAAGCAAAAAAAGAGCAATCATTTAAAAATAGAGGATTATTTATTCATTTATTTCCTTTTCAGCTTAGTCCCTTTATTAATCTGGAGTCACCACAGAGGTATGAACTGCCAACTTATCCAGCATGTTTTACACAGCGGATGCCCTTCCAGCTACAGCCCACCACAGGGAAACATTCATATACACCCACCCACACACATCACGGACAATTTAGCCTACCCAATTCACCTGTAACGCATGTCTTTGGACTTGTGGGGGAAGCCAGAGCACCTGGAGGAAACCCACACAAACACGAAGAGAACATGCAAACTCCACACAGATATGCCAACTGACCCAGCCGAAGCTTGAACCAGAGACCTTCTTGCTGTGAGGTGAACATGCTACCCACTGTGCCACCGTGCAGCCCAATAGATGATTATAAAGACCTATATTGACGATTTCACATAAATCAACATGCCAAAAATAGATTATTTCCTTTTCTTTGCATAGCAAAATAACATGCAACTTAACTGTTGCATAAAAATAATAGGTTAAATAACATAACAAGAGGCAGGCAATTCTGTACAATGGCATGATGCTGAAATTTCATATTTATTAAAATATAAAATTTGGAATTATATTCACACATATTTTTCTATTTCATTATTGTTTTATGATATTTTTGATCAGTCAGTCTTATACATTTCTTTCAAAAAGTAGAGAAAATGATTGTGTTTGAATGTATTCTCTGTGTGTCTGTATTCAAAACCTGTTGGCTACAGTCTTAAATATGTTTTAATTGACAGTAAATAATTGTGATATCTTAAATAGGGTTATGTAAATGTCAATGGGTTCATGGTCCAGCAATTAATTTGTAGTTTCTATGTAGGTGTATGAAAGGTTTTAACTACTTTAAGAGTCCGGTTCAGTAAGTGTGCCTCTAAGCCTGTCCTGGATCAGAGGAATTCTCATGCGTGAAATGAACGCTTTTATTTTTAGAGGTGGGCAGGGAATAGAGACCTTGTGCTTTAGCAGGTATAGAGAAGCCAACGTACGTTCAATTAAAAATTTAGACTTATAGAACCTTTAGTTAGCCTTTGGAAAGGATCACTGCTGTGAAAGTGCATATTTTGAGGAGTTTGTGAGGAATCTGCAGATAATTTATTTAAGAAATTCATATGCCATCCAGATGAGCACCAAGGCTCAATGTGTTGGATCAAAACACTCACCAAGCCACAGCTCCAACTTAAATGTCAGTTTTCTAGATGCATTTCAATCTCAGCATAATGTGGAAAATGAGATCAGTCCGTATCATTATGCCCAAGGGTTTCTATAACCTCCATAACAGGATGGAGAAGAGAAAGATGCAGCATGAAAGACTGCTAATGCAAACATTACATATTCATAATTATGGGAGTTCTCTTCTGAAAGCTTTTGAAGCCATCCAGAGTGAATATGCTAATGCTGTCAGAAACTTTTTGACAAAGCATCACACTCAACATCTCAATGCAAGTTTAAAGCGCACTGAGAATAGTTTTTTACCATGATGTTGAGTGCATTCATAAGAAACTGACAACTGACTGAGTCAGAGAACTCAATCAAATATGTTTCTTATATGTAAACCAATCTGGTGGAGTGACTGAAATCTCATGATAAGCAGGTACTACTACACATCTGAAAACGAACAAACTTCACAAAGGTTATCTGGATCCACAACAGCCATATCAGCATTGTCATGTGGCTTACCATGTCATTCTGCTCCTCTTCCTTCTTTTTATTAAAGAGTAAAGTGTTAATTGAATGCATGATATTGGGAAAAGCTGACATTGTGATATTACAATTTCTGTATAATCACCGGCCACTTTATTAGGTAGACTTAAAAGTACTGGTTGGACCCCCCTTTCACCTTCAGAACTGCCTTAATCCCTCATGGCATAGATTCAACATGGTATTGGTAATATTCCTCAGAGATTTTGGTACATATTGACACGATAGCATCATGCAGTTGTAAAAAATTTGTCGCCTGCACTGCAAATTTCCCATTCCATCCCCTTACAAAGGTGCTGTATAGGATAGAGGTCTGGTGACTGTGTAGGCCATTCGAATGCAATGAATTCATGTTCAAGGAACCAGTCTGGGATGATTCGCGCTTTATGAAATGGCTTTTTGTTCTGCTGGAAGTAGCCATCAGACATTGGGTACACTGTGGTACTAAAGGGATGGACATGGTCAGCAACAATACTCAGGTAGGCTGTGGTGTTGACACAATGCTCAATTGGTACTAATCAGCCCAAAATGTATGCTAGGAAAATATCCCACACTATTACACTACCACCAGCAGCCATGAACCATTGAAACATGACAGGATAAATTCATGCCTTCATGTTGTTGATGCCAAATTCTGACCATACCATCCGAATGTCACAGCAGAAATAGAGACTCATCAGACCAGACAACATTTTTCCACTCTTTTATTGTCAAAATTTGGTGAGCCTGAGTGAACTGCAGCTACAGATTACTGTTCTTAGCTGACAGGAGTGCTCTGCTGCTCTAGCCCAACTGCCTCAAGGTTCGACGTGTTGTGCGTTCAGAGATGCTCTTCTTTATATCTCGGTTGTTTCTATCAAACCAGTTCAAACCAGCCTTTCTATCATACCAGCTCAAACCAGTCTGGCCTTTCTACTCTGATCTCAGGCATCAACAAGGCATTTGTGCTCACAGAACTGCCGTCACTGAATATTTTCTCTTTTTCAGACCATTCTAGAAATGGTTGTGCATGAAAGCAGTTTCTGAAATACTCAGAGCAGACCGTCTGGCACCAACAACCATGCAACATTCACTGTCGCCTATCTAGCCCATTCTGATGCTCAGTTTGAACTGCAGGAGATCGTCTTAAACATGCCTACATGCCTAAATGCATTGAGTAGCTACCATGTGATTGGCTGATTAGAAATTTGCATTAACGAGCAGTTACCTATTAAAGTGGCCGGTGAGTGTATATTGCAATATTGAGTAGAATTTTATCAGATGAAATGAATAGCTCTATTTGGGCAGAAATGATCATTTTTCATTGATTAGGATGATTCTGCATAAAATATAGTAAACCAATCACAAGCATTGATAAATACAGTAGAACAAAGATACGAGTGAAATAAACAGTACGGTTGTCTAGAGCAATATTCAGGAAAACAAATTAAATAATCAATTGAAACGAACACTATTGTTGTATATACATAAACACAAATGATCTTTCTTAAAGTTGCAAACATTAGTATTTCTTGTGGCTAAATGCTTTCAACTGTCTTGAACTGCTCACACAGTCGCAAGTCTTAAAACACATTCAAATGCTAAACCTTTTGGTAACTTTATGGTTAAAATGAGCAATTTAAATAAGGAGGATCTTGTGCTTAGTTTCATTGGCTTTTAACAATGTTTTGTTGATTTTCACACATGCGCTGAGCACATTTTTGCACTTTGTACAAATAAAATAAAATAAGACTAAGATAAGATAAGTATCTGAACAAGTAATCCTTTTTTTGGATACACTATAAACGCATTTGAAGATGACCTTTTTTTTGCCTTGTGATGTATTATATAATCATTGCAATTACTCCAAAAATCATGAGTGTTTTCAGCTGTTGCGGTCAAATATAATCCCATCTTAACATTACAGATCCTGTGATGTGACTATTGCAGATGCACACCTACTCTAGCGATATTGATGCTGAAACTATATACAGTATAGCCCTTATTAGATGTGCACTTCATAATCTTGTAAGAAGTAATAAGTCATTCAGGTACCTTTTGTCTATTGTTTTGGGTGCTTTGGGAATCTTTATCAAGGACATACTCCAGAACACAATGTTTACTGCGAGGGCCGAAAGTGGAAACCTGTACAGGCACAGTATTCCTAGCAGTGCCATTGTCTTTTTCACTTAGTTTGTTCAATTCAGGTCTGTAGGAATCTCTCAGCTCTGGTGCTTTTGAGGTATTCTGAGCCATTTCTGGCACATTGTGGGGCAGATGTGAGATGCTTGGGTTCAGTCGTTTCGAGGAATGCTGTCAAAACCTTAAACTCATCCTTTGATTGACCTCATTAACTGTGTTATCCTCTATTTCCGCAGATACCTTGGAATCACTCGTCCTCTGACCTACCCTGCGAGACAGAACGGACAGCTGATGGCTAAGATGATAGTTGGCGTCTGGTTGGTGTCGGCATCCATCACTCTGCCGCCATTCTGTGGCTGGGCACATAACGTCAACACTGCGGGAGTTTGTCTGATCAGTCAGGATGTGGGCTACACCCTCTACTCTACAGCTGTGGCCTTCTACATCCCTATGGTGGTCATGCTTTTCATGTATTACAAGATTTTCAAAGCTGCCCGCAGAAGTGGGGCCAAACACAATTTCACTTCACTCCCTCCAATTCAGTTGGCCTGTCCCGAACCAGCTTTGGCCACTGTAGATGGGTTCTGCATGCATGGGATGAAGAATGGTGCAACTTCCGAGGAGTTTTCTACCCTCTCCTGCTTGTTGAATCGTGAACGGCGGAGCGCATCGATTTTCAGGCGTGAGCAGAAGGCAGCAACCACCCTCGGAGTGATCATGGGGGTTTTCTCATTCTGCTGGTTGCCGTTTTTCCTCTTCACCACAGCAAGACCGTTCATTTGTGGGCTGCTCTGTAATTGTGCCCCCGTCTGGCTGGAAAGAGTACTGCTGTGGCTGGGCTACACCAACTCACTCATGAACCCTTTCATCTACGCCTTCTTCAACCGAGACCTACGTTCAACATACAAAGACCTGCTGCGCTGCCGTTATAGAAACATCAACCGGCGACTCTCAGCTATGGGAGTGCATGAGGCTCTAAAACTCTGACTGCTTATAATCTATATATACCTGGTTTACAACCAAGGCTCCTTGGAAAAATGCTCCTCTACCCACATTTAAAAAAAGCTGGCACACTAACAAGGACACAAAAGGCTGCATCATCTAGCATCATATGTTAGAGCATATCTTGAGAATACAGATTGAGTTATCCACATATCTCCAGCTAAGCATTGTAACCCCTCTAAAACTTCACTCCCATCTGGGTTATACCACTAAAAGTAACCCCTCTGCTTCCATTTGCCCTAAAGACCACTGCCTCTAGCATGTGACATGAGGCTCCTCACACAGCTCCTATTGACCTTTATTCTTCACGTACGAGCGGCCACAGCCATTGGAATCTTTTTGGCTAAAGACTTATAGTCTTATTCTATTACGTTGATTTTTAGATGATTAAAAAAAGTTACAAACTGATATTTTCTTAATATATTAGTCACTTTATTGTGTAGTCATGAACACACTTGTTTGTAGAGCAAATAGTTTGACCATTTTCTGCCATTTATTTTTATTTCTAGTCATTTCTCCCATAGGCAACTGATTGTGAAGTTCTAAAACAGGAGTGCTTAACCCTGTTCCTGGAGAACCGCCTTCCTACAGAGTTCAGCTCCAACCCTGATCAAGCACACATGAACCAATTCATTAGGATAATTACAGGCAGGTGTGTTTGATATGGGTTGCAACTGAAATCTGCAGGATGGTAGATCTCCAGGAACAGGGTTGAGCACTCCTGTTCTAAAACAAATCGTAAAAATGATTGCATGCTAGGGATGTAACGGTATCAGAATTTCACAGTACGGTAATACCTCGGTATGAATGTCACGTTACGGTATTTATTGAATCATTTACAGGAAAAAACAAAACTTATGAAAATACTCCAAAAAAGTGCCAAAAGTGTCAATGACATACAAATTAGCCATCTATCTGTAAGCTTTGAAACAGGAACTTCAATTTTAATAACAAAAAAATATTAAACCATGTAAAAAAAATAAAGTTTCAATTTAGTATTTTTGAAAACTCATCACATTCAACATTTAATCACTCACTCACTTAGATAGAGATGGGTTTAAAGGAAAATTATCATATAAATATAATCTGGTAAAAGCTGGTATCTCTGGGCATTTACAATGTCCCCTGCAACAGAAAAAACCCTTTCATTTGGGACTGAGGTTTCTGGGACAAGAGAGATATGACTTGGCCCAGGTTGATAGCAGTGGGTAACGTTGTGCATTGTCTTTCCCCCACTTGAGAGGACAAACCATGAGTGAGATAGAGGTCTCATGTCTGCATCAATCTGAACAGTGTGCTGACAACACCGCTATTCAGTACGCGCGCGACAACACAGCTGATAAGAACTCGCGCGACAACACCGCTATTCAGTACGCGCGCGGCGACAACACCCGCTTTAGAGTTTTCCAGCTCTTTTTCATCCCCGCTTCTAGCAGCACACTCCATTTCCGCATTACTGGATCTGTAGCGACAACAGACCGCAAGGGATGATGGTCTAGCATGGGATGATAGGAATTGTAGTTTTCGCTACCTCCCGTTCGCTTCATTCGCCTGAGCAAATTTTCTCAGAAGACCTATAGTTTTACCGAGTCATGCGACTTCGGTAATATCGAAAAAAATTAATATTGCGGTATGACGGTATTTACAATACCGTTACATCCCTACTGCATGCAGATTAAGGTCAATAGCGGCTGCCTTATTCACTCCTAAGCCTCACTCTCATTGGCTCCAATGCAAAACCTTCAGTTCTTCTTTCCCAATCTAATAATGCTTTGAACTGGTTCTTTCTGTGTTAAGTGGAAGGTGCACTAACTAGGACAGTAAAGACAGTCACAAATGTGCCTCTTGAGTACACAAGAGTTATGTTTACCCAAACTCTCAAACACCCCAAAAGCTCGCTCCCATGAGTCATGGAACCAAGGTATTGCTCCCTATTTTATTCGCTCAAGTCCAAGAAGTATTTAAAGTGTTGTTTTCAGTTCAGAAGTTTGGCACACTACAACAGCCTCTAACAAGCTGGTCTTCTTTATTACACAATAGTTACATCAGCAAATGCATTTTTATCTCTATAATCAGCAAAATCAAACTGTTGATTAGAGACCACTGTGCCTACTACAATACTGCTGATAAATTCTTGTATTCTGATGGAGGTTGACATAAAGAGCACCTGTCTTTTATCAATTTTCAGAGATGAAACAGATCTTTATTCTGCACACAGCTTGTGAAAATGCAGATATTATGCATAACAGTATTGAAATAAACAGCACCAATAAAAGAATGGCAATCCATACAACATCCAAGCTTAAAAAATGTTGCCAGATTCATATTGTGCATTTAGCAACCATTTCATCAAAGTGAAAATTGTGCCACAGACACGTTTTTCCAAAGAATCTGGGTTTTTCAATGTACTTTTGAGTGTTCTTTGTACCACTTAACCACTTAACGATACCGCTAACAGTATTTCAATACATGATTTGCTGTCCTACCTGACTTCAATGTCTAAATGTATTGTATATGAATAGCGTAGTCCTTTTAAACAATCTGTTTAAATTACATTATTAACAAATCGATATTGAAGAATAAACCGAATATGAAAGTGTGCGCATTTGTAGAAGTATGTCAAGATAAAATCACTTAAAATATTTTAGAGAAAGTAGTCAAAGTTTGCATAACCAACTAGTGATTTTTTCCGCCTGTGAACCAACCATATAGTTAAACTTTTCGATTACCTGACCTACGGATTGATGGCAGGACTCGCGAATATAATGTAATCAATAAACGATAAGGTCTATTGATTTACAGGGTTATCAACAATGTGTGTAAGTTTTTAGCTTGGAACAGCCTTCTGTTAAAGATTTTTTGGGTTCATCCTTGCTACAGGCAAAAAATCAAACCTCCTTTCAAATTAATTGCACTTTAATTGAAACCAAATCTAAGAGGTATTGGAATCGGTACTCGGTATATGCCAGTACACAAAGTAAAATACTCGTATCGGATTGTAAAAAAGTGGTATCTGTTCATCCCTACTAATGCTACATTGACAATTTGCCAAATCACCCTTTCAGTAATGTTTTTCGTGTTAAGGTATTGTGCTGAGCTGTAATGCCTGACATGGAAGGGCCTAAATGTATAGACAGACATATATATTTACTTAACTTTACATGAAATCATAGTAGCTTTGTATAATGGCAAAAAATAACATTATGGCATTTGTATTTTATGAGTGCAAACATAATGGCTTGAATAAATATGATGTTTAAAAAGAATAAAATACGATGCCAGTGCAAAATATGTAAAATACTTAATATAATGAGGGTATATATTAAATTTCATGAATATGATCTGATACTGTGTAAACCTGCATCTGTTTTAATTTGACTTTTGTAGCTAATATGTTTATATATTAGATTATATGCCAGGTTCACTTTGTCTAACTGTCATGTGCTATACTTCCAATAATAAACATACATGTTGTTTTCTGTGTTTGTGTGCTTGCTGTAATGTAATATAAACTGGAAAAGTTTTTCTTTATAAAACAGATAGTTCATATACTGTATATTGTGACAAGATGTGCTGAATATTCAGTTTGTATTTTACATCAGATTTTGTCAGAGAGCTTTTATCAGTATTCTGCTTGTTGATCCTGTGGGCTCAGTGTTTGTTTTGAAAGATTAAATACAAACATAGCTGTCTCAATACTCATGTTTTCTTAATAAATATTACCCTAATGAATATTCAGTTGCACATGTATTTCATTAGAAGCCTGAGCGTCTTCTGTACTTGTTTACCATTTGGTATGTCTTGAATATGATTAGTAATAATGTGTTTACCTATCAAGCCAGCATTTTTAATCTGATTGAAGGTGAAAATGTGTGAAATGCAAATGCAATACATGGCAACACTCTTGTGTATTTTATTAAATATGGTTTGTTTTTAATGGATGCACACCAGGGTGCAAAACAAGATTTTTTTTTTTTTAAGAAAATGCCTTGCATTTTTACATCTTTATGTTGTGCAAATGTACTAAAAGCACTCAACCACTGAAATACCAGACAGAACATCATGCGAACCACCTAGCAAAGCACCGTAATAGAAAAACACTCAAATTGTGAGTGATACACTTGTTAGCTTTTCTTTTTTTAAAGGATTTAGAGGGTCTCAAATCAAAAAAGGTTGAGAACCGCTGAATTAGATTATTAGCATGTCACTCAAAATAAAAAGAAAGCTTGAATAATTTTTAGATTTAAAGCTTGACTCTTCTGTAGTTACATTAAGACTGATGGAAATTAAAAAGTTTAAAAATTGTGGGTAGCACGATCGCCTCACAGCACGAAGGTCACTGATTCAAGTCTCGGCTGGGTTAGTTGGCGTGTTTGTGTGGCATGTTCTCCCTGTGTTCGCATGGGTTTCCTCTGGGTGCTCTGGTTTCCCCCACAGGTCCAAAGACATGCAGTATAGATGAATTGGGTAAGATAAAATTGGCCGTAGTGTATGTGTGTGAATGAGAGTGTATGGGTGTTTCCCAGTGATGGGTTGCAGCTGGAAGGGCATCCGCTGAGCAAAACATGCTCTGGATAAGTCATTCCGCTTTGGCGACCCTAGATTAATAAAGGGATTAAGTCGAAAAGAAAATGAATGAATTAATTAACAATCAAGGAACTTTGCTGACAAACATTGACTGTAGCAGGTCCAATGGTGTTACAAAGCATCTGAAAATATTCCCAGCTGATTAACCGCTGCATACTATTATCTAAAGAAAATAATAATAATAAATAAAAATCAAAAGATATGCTCTTAAAAGAACAATTTCTTCGTTACAATTAAATAAAATTATCATCTAGAACCCTTTTTCACTGTAAAGAACCTTTTATTTATAACGAAAATATTCCATTGATCTTAAAGTTGGAGTACGTAAGTTTGACACCCAGTGGTTGAACGAGGTATTGCATTCCTGGATCAAAACAAACGCAAGCGCAGGTTGGCAGATTGAGGACCAACAGGAGCGCGTCTGACTATCGAACCTAATGACTTATTTGAATTGTGTTCTATATAAAAGCAACAGCACACAATAGAAGGAATATTTTCATATTAAAATGAGTTTTTGTCCTAACCAATACCTTGAGTTATATATTAGAGACGGCTTCTACTTCTTGCAGCTGAACAACAGAAAACTGACAATAATCACCTCAGATACACCTCATGTGCTTTATTAAGTGTTAAATGCTAATAATGTGAGTTTGAATGTCGTTTTAAATGATATTTATAGTCATACTACTGAAAGCAGCAGCAGATAGCTCACCTCAGAGAATAAAATAAACCATTTGAAATTTTAGATCTGTGACTCAAAACCAACACAGTGATTCAGCATATTTAATAATGTTAAAGAGGTTTATTATGTATTAGATT